ATATATGAATAAAGTAATATATATATATATATATATATATATATATATATATAAATTTATAACACATAAATAATCTTATATTGTGTAATTACATAATCGATAGATACAATATAGTTCACAAATTTGAGCAAATCTTGTATAATACCGATATTTATATAATGCAATATACTAATTTTATAAAAAAAATTTTTATAAAGTTATTTGTTATTAATTATATATTTTTGATTTATTATATCTTTAACTTTTTTTCTATAAAGATGCAATTTTTTATTTTTTGAATTTTTATTTTGTTAGAAAATTTAAAAAATATTATGCAATATTAAAAATTTTATATATTGAGAATTAGTATAAATTGCATGCTATTTATTCTTTTAATTATTTTTCAATTATTTTTCATTTATTTTATTTTTCAATTGCATCACTTATATTTTTGCCTCGATATAAAGTTATTTTCGTCTATGTCTACTACTATTATTAGTTATGTAGATTTACATAATACATTTATTTTTCATGTATATTGAAAGATTGTTATGAACAATTTTTTTTTATTAATCTTAATAAACATGTTTTTGTAATATTTTGTTAACGATCACAAAATATTGGCTAAGTCAAAAGTGCCAAAGAAAAACAACAAGAAGAACAAGTAGAACAATAAACATACTTAATTTTTAATTGATCTTATTTTATTAATTTTTATAATATATCCATTTTAATAATAGATACATATTTTAAAAATTTTTTGTAAGTCATGTTTTGTTAAAATAATTCTTTCTCTCATACTTATGAAATAAAATAATAGACAAATTTTATTTCTCATATTTTAATGATTCATTAATAATTGAAATATTATTGATTATGAATTAAAGATATTGCGAATGATATGTTATATATTATTCTTTTTATTGCTGTTTGATTGCATCATGAATTGAATACAAGTAATCTAACATTATTTAAGAATGATTATTGATTAAACTTACGAAATCAGAGAAAAAGAAACAATATTTTCGAAGTTAAAATATTACATAAATAACTTTAAATCATTGTGTAACTTTTATATATACAGACATATAATAGTACATCAATAATAGAATAATGAGAAAAATAATATCTAAATATAAGAGAAATAAGAAAAATTATCAATTATTAAGTTGAGATATGAGTTTAATTTTAAAAATATTCTTTTCTTAAATAATTAGATTATCATTGAAAATATCAAATTAATTTTTTTAATATGTAATTTTTTATAAAATATATCATGAAATGTATATAGTTTTAATTAAATCAACTGTTATATTATATGTTATTTATATTATATTTATAAGATTATGATGTAATTTATAAACTATATTTATTCAAATTTATGAAAATACTTTTATTATTTTTTTTTGCATTTATTAATTATAGATGGGTCGTTTTATTTTCCCATCCTGCCGATTTTACACCTGTTTGCACCACTGAATTAGGACGTTTGGCAGTGCATCAACCTCATTTTAAACGTCGAAATACAAAACTTTTGGCTCATTCTGTCGATAAATTACAGGATCACATTGATTGGGTTAATGTAAGTTATAAAAACTTTACTCAATATTTAATGAGACAATAATATAAATATAAATAAAGATATTTAGATATTGTGTTTTTTTTAAAAAGAAATATTGCATCTCTTTTTAATAAACCCATGTTAATTTTTAAAAAAATTGCATTAATTAATAATGAAAATTGCAATAATGAAAATTTATTTTAAAAGAGATATTTTATGTTGAGCATAACATTTTTTTATATTTTTCTAGATATTTTATTATACGTTTCTTAAATATATGAAGCTTATCTATAGTTAACAATGAACTATTTATATTTGTGGTCATTTTGTTAGTTCGAAGCTTTTATTTCTATATAAAGGAAATACTTATCATAATTCTAAATATATTCTAATATATTCTACTAACAATAAAATAAATTTTTTTTGAAACATATATGAACTTTTGTTTTGAAGATATTATTATATTATTTATATTATTATAAATTCATATTTCATTCATTATTCATAAATTTATTCATTTAAGTATTTAAATATATATATTCACAATATAAATGAATTTTTAAATATGTACAATATTATAATATTTGCAAATTACAAGTATATTATTTTTATTATAGGATATCAAATCTTATTGTCAAGATATACCTGGAGCATTTCCTTATCCAATAATTGCTGATCATGACCGTACTTTGGCAGTGAAATTAAATATGATTGATGAAATTAGCAAAGATGATCCAGAACAAGCGTTAACTGTTCGTGCTTTATATATTATAAGCCCCGATCATCGATTACGTTTATCAATGCATTATCCAACATCCACTGGACGCAATGTAGAGTAAGTCTTTTTATTATAACGTTGTCCTTATACCAGAGATATATTATTTTTTTGAAAGAAATTTTTGTTGTTCTATTCTTAATTTCAGATTCCAACAATAAAACAATGTTTCATATTGAAATCGAAGCAACTATTGATATTTCAAAAATATCGATTTCGAGAATTATTTTATTATAAAATATTTTATTATAAAAAAATTTTATTATTTTATTATAAAAAATTAATTTTAATATTTATCAGAAAAAGAAAATTTATTTTAATGAAAAATTACTTTAATTAAAATAAAATTTTTTATATATTCATCTCAATTTCTTATAGGTATAAAATTTGAAAGAAATTTTAACTTACAATACGATGTAAAAAAAATAGAAGCATTCGAAAAAATATTAAACTCAAAATTAAAATTTTTCTAAAATGAAATATTAAAATATTTGTCTTCTTTCTGTTTGAATCTTTCATATTTCATAATAACATTCATAATATATTAATATTTTGTAAATTTCCATAAGTTATCAAATTATATATTTGTACTTCTGATATAAAAATAAGATTATATTATAATATAAATATAATTAATAATTATTTATGATTTCTAGCGAAATCTTGCGAGTTATAGATTCCTTGCAACTTGTCGATAAGAGACCGGAAATAGCAACCCCTGCTAACTGGATGGTAAGAAAAATTTTTTTTTTCAAAGTTTGATATTGTTTCTTTTTTAAATATTTGAACAATATTTTAATAGATAATAACATTCAATATTTATTTTATTATAATTTTATGAAAATTAAAATTGTACTTTATTTTTTATTTATAGCCAGGTGAAAAAGTTATGATTCTTCCAACAGTAAAAGATGAAGAACTTCCTAAACTTTTCCCCAAAGGAGTGGACAAAGTGTCAATGCCTTCTGGCAAGGTTTACGTCCGCACAACCACAAATTATTAAACATATTCATAAATGAAGCTTTGTATTAAATACATGATATATTATTTTATATTTTATACTTTTTTTCATTATCATAAAATTATATTAAATAATTTTATCATTTAATATACTATTAAAAATTACGATTCATGTTTATAGTTATTTAACACAATATAATAAACTTTCTTTTTTATTATTTTCACTAATACATTTGATTTTTATAATAAGAAAAATATCATTATACATAAAATTAAATTCTTCATTGTTATATATAATGATAAATTAATTGTATAAATAGATAATGAATACATAATAAATATTTCTTATATTAATATTCAAAAGCTGGACATACTATATATACATAATAATATAAATACATAGAAATTATTATATACATTATTTTTTCTAATCATTTGCTAAAACAATATTCTAATTGAACTTTTTATGGAATATGATAAAATTTTATTAAAAAGAAAAAAATTAATCCTGCAATAGCATATCAAAATCCTTCATTATTTTAGTACAATATTTATTTCCATTATTATATTGCAAAATTATTACAAATATATAATTATATAAATATATAATTATATAAAATATATAAGTTATATAAAATATATAAGTTATATAAATATATAATTTATATAACTTATTTAAAATAGATATTTTTAAATATATTAATGAACTTTTTCAAAATTTTTTGTATTATAAATATATCCCAACGTATTATTTAATAGATTATTTAATATTTAATAGAAAAAATATTAAATAATCGTTATATTTTTTAGAAAAAAATATTGTGCTATTGCAGGATTAAATCAATTCGATAATTTAGTCCAATCTTCGAAGAGTAATAAAATTTATACAAATATCATTTTAGATATAAATTATAAAAATATCAATTTTTAATTAAATTGTAATGAAATTTTATCAATAAAATCATTCTATCAAATTATAAATAAACAAAAATAAAAATTATGGATATTATATTAATTTAATTTTATTGTAAAGACAAATCAAAAACAAATGCATCTTTCTTTTTTTTTAATTTTAATTTTTTTTATACAAAAATATTTTAATCATATTTTAATATATATTATGATATTATGATTAATACATAATTAAAATATATATAAAAAAATGACTTACAATTTATTTTATTACAATTACAATTACTATGCTCAGCGAAATAATTGTAATTATATATTAATATGATTTACAAATTAAAAAAATACAAATTCTAAGTTCATTAAAAAAATACTATAAGGAACATATTTTTTTATAAATAGATCGTGTAAAGTTTTATAAAGTTTATCTTTATAATATTGGTATTATAAAATATTATTATAATATATCAATACTAACAAATATAATTTTTCATCATATTTTTTAATGAAACATCATTATATATATAAATTTATTTTTTTGTTCTCAAATTTAATGAAAAGAAAAATGCAAATATTATTTATTAGTGTTATAAATTTCAATTGTTCTATTTTTCTATAAAGTCTAAAATAGAATACTATCGTCTTATTAAGCATTTATAAGTGCACTTATATTTGTTATATTTTTTCAATAAAAATTTTCAAAAAATTTGAACATAATATTTATAAAATTAAAAATAAAAATGTTTAATTCGTTTAAGATTTAACGATATGATCTTGAAAATTAAAACGATACACTCAGAAAAAACATGCAATTTTAAATGTTGAACAAAACTTACAATATTTTCTGGAAGTCTGTGCCCAGGAAGATATTTCACATTTTCATGTAATTGATTGATAATATCACTCAACTTTTGGCTATTCACTATTTCTTCGTAAACGTACATTGTTACGCGTGTTTCAAATTTATTATTAAATTTTACTACATTGGTACCAATAATTTTTGCAATAGCTGAGCCCCTAAAGTATAAAAATTAAATTAAAACTATTACTGGTATAATTATTTTATTTTAATTTGTCAGTTTTATTCATTTCATAAATATATATAATTAATAACACATTGAAAGATAATTTTGAAATTGTATACAAATGCAATTGTATGTAATACAAAACAAATTGATAAAAAAATATAAAAATTGTAAAAATTAAAAATAAAATATAAATATAAAAATAATATATTTAATTGAAAATATAATATAATATAATACGATTTGTTAAGATGATATTATGATTTTGACAAAAGTAGCATAATTTTGATTCATTTCATAAATATAAAAGATAAAAGAAAGAAAGAAATTCGCATCACATACCAATTACCACTTCCTACAATGCACACCCTCTTCTTTGCATCTGTAGCCATTTTGGTATCTTAACGTACAAATGATACAAAATTTATAAGTTCACGAGGGTACGAGAATGCTGCACAAAGTACCACAAATTAGATTATTTTCAAATGCTGATGTACAACTGACTGACTGACCGATTAACTTACAAACTAACTTCAGCCTTCATTGACCTTAGTAACGATCGCAAATTATTTTCTAACGGTTGGCATTCATTGTTCTGGATCAAGGCCAATATAAACGTAACAGCAAACCGTAGCCAGAATGAATGTTAAAATTAGCAATTGCTTAATAATAATACTTAAGATAATCTTGAAGGTTTTAACTATATTACAATGTAATCTTAAATTTTAAATTTAAGATTAAAAAAAGTAAAAATTTTCAATAAAGCTTATTATATAACATTAAGATTAAATATTAAAATAAAAATAGAAAACAGAAATATAAAATAATAAAAATATAAGAATATAGAAAAATAAACGAATTATATCAATTTGCAAAATAATAATAAAAGATATATAAAGTAGTACCCATTATTGAAATTCATTATTTTTAAATAAACATAAAAAGATTTGTATTCAGTTATTCCATATAAATTTTTACCATCGTTATATAAGTCATTATAGTTATCGCTACATTGTCCATATCAAAATATAGATATGGAAATCTATGTTTTGAATAAAAACAGTTTTTGAAATCGAAATAATTATACCAATAATCTTCTTTTATATCTTCCAAATAATCTTCATAGGTGACATCTTGGTGATAGTAATTGTAGTATTGGTGCGTTAACGTCGTTGTTCCTAAATATGAAGCAAATATAATTAAAATTTATGAATCTTTTGTGCATTTTTAATTATATTTTATACTTTTATACCCTTAAATATATCAAAATTTAAGTATGTAAATATAGTATTATAGTATCTAATTATAATTATTGAATTTATATTACAATACATGTAACAGGATATATTATATATTATATAAAAAAATATATTACATAAAAAAAAAAATAATGTTACTAACAATGGTTAAATTATTATTTGGAATTAAAGGCTTTGGAAAAAGGACAAATATAATTCTAAACAAAAATTTATCAATTAATAAGTAATAATCGTATATTTGTTGTCTATATTACACTGTTCAAATTAATTTTAATTCTAGTACAATTCATAATAAATTAATGAAATTTATCAACATAAAATAGAAATGTTAAAAACATTTGTTTATAGATTTTTCTTAATTTCTAAAATACAACAATTCTGATAAAATTTTCATTAAAATATAACGCACAATACAAAATATATTTAAATGTATTATATACTTATAATTTTATTTTATGAATAAAATGTTTATATATTTCGTATTCATATATGCAGCTAAAAAACATTAATTACATGATTAAATAATTTTGTTAAGAGTATATCAAAATTATTATATGCATTATAGCTATTTTTTAATGGAAAATATAAGCTTTAAAAAAAAAGTAAAACGGAGAATAAGCAACAACAATTTAAATTATATAATATTAAAATATTATTTAATAATGTCTTTGGCAATTATTATGGCAAAATTATAATATTTATAAAAATCCATGGTCCTTTATATTTCCTCTTCTATAATATTTTCTTTCTTCAATTCATAAATTGATTTTAATAAAATTATTAAGGCGATACATATTATACATATAAAAACTAAAAATCATTTTTATATAAATTTTAATGTTTTTTATATGATTTGCGTAGTTCATATAGAGCATTTACATTCTTGATAATTTCTTGTTTCATCTCTGTTTAAAAAAAAAAATGAAGTTTTAAAAATATCTTATGCACAAATTTTATTTATAAAATACTGGTGAAATCATTAACCTCTTAATAATAAAAAGAAAGATTAATAAAAGAATTTTATAACACCCATAAAAACAGTAATACATTTTCATATAAAATAATGATATCTAATAATATGCAGAGTGTCTCAATTTCTTTTGTTAAACTTTTTCAAAAAATATTTTATGGGCATAAAATAGAAAAAATAAAATAAAAAAGATAAAAGATAATAAAAAAAGATGTTATATAAACTTAAGATACTTTTGAATTTTTTTAAAGATTTATAATAAAAATATAAAATATAAAAAAAATACTAGTAGATTTATGATTATTATAATAAAAAACAATCAATATAATTATTAAATAGTGTATTAAAATATATTTTTTTGCAGATAAATAGATACTAAAAACATTAGTATTTTCATTGTAAATTTCTAATATAAAATTTAAATAATATATATAAACATGTTTATATAAATATAATGTTTATTTTATATCCATAAAACATTTTAAAAACGTTTGAATGAAAATATTCAAACAATTCGTTTATATTTATTCAATTTTTATCAATTTTATTGTTACATCTTATATAAAGATTTTGATGAAATAATAAAATAAATAAAATATGTTAAAGTATATTTTTTTTCGCCTTATTATTATTGTTCTAAAATACTCTAATATAAAAATATATGAAAATATTTTTATTAAAAATAAAATATTTATATCGTTTTTAATATATATAAATATATTTAGATATATTGTACATAAAAAAATATATTATGCTTTTCTTTAGTGAATTATTAAAATTCTTTCATGTACAATTATACATAATGTATTATTAATTAAAAAAAAATTTTATTTAACAAAAGTTAAAATATTTTATTGTATATATGTATTGCATTTAGAAAAAAGATATATAATTTCTTTTTGATGTAAATAACAACTATTTACAGTATGTACATGTATTATATACATTATACATATTGTTGTAATAATATTTAGATACTTTTTATAGATTTACCAATTATTTTTATATATTTTTATATATGAAATATATAATAATACAAATAAATAGGACCATGGTTAGAGAGATTATTGTTACAATAAAATTTTAAATGTTATAAAATATTAATTTAAACAAATAAAATTTTAAATAAACTAAAGCTTAGATCCTATATCATCTATGATATCGAATCAAATTTACTAAATATCACATATTTACATGTCTTTCGTCGAATTTCTACATTTATATATAACAGTACTAATATATTATAATATAAAATAAAATAAAATATAAAATATATAAAATAAAATATATAATAAAGTAAAATATATTGTAATATATTTCCAAAAATAAATTTCTTTTACAATATATAATTCTATTATTCTAAA